GCCATGTATAAACCAAGTCAAATCATGCTATAAATAGAAAATCAATATTTTAGTTTATAAAATAAAAACTGCACATGAATTAATAACAATTATAATAAAAATTGTTGGTATTACATAGTAGAACACTCATGTCACCGTTGGCATTACATAGTTGAACACTCATGTCACCGTTGTTTCAAAAACAGTGAAAAAATAATATATAGTATATTTTATACAATAAACCAATCAAATTAAAATTTACCCAGAGTGTTGAGTGTCCAAACGCATTTTTATTATGTTATATAGAGTGGTTCTCATTCTGCAGGTGTTTTTATTAACACACTACGTAGTCAAATTTCACTCAGTTTAAATACTTAATTTAGGTTAGGTTAAGATCTTTCATGCCAAAAAATCTGGTTCAAAAATTTCCATGGTTGCATTATGATGAAAGGTAAGATACATACAATTTGATTTGTCTCTCAAGTTAAAAGAATCAAAATTAATTTAAAAGTGCTAATTTAAAGGTTTTTATCTTAATTTTTTTGTTAAAATAATTGCATTTTATTTAGAACTGACAGTTTTTTTCGCTGCTATTTTGTTATTCAAGAAAGAAAGAGCAACCTGAAAGATTAAAGAAATAAAGAAGATGCTTATATTACCATAGGTTTTTTTCTATGTAAAAAAGCTCCAAAATTTTACCAATTGAGTAATGTTAAAAGCGATGCTATTATACTTGTTATCAAAAATGTTTTTCGATAATTGCAGGGGTCAAATCTATTATAGCGCATCTAACATGATGGAGAAGAAATACTCTAGGTAATAGCTAAAATTCTTGCAGAACAGCCAAAAGCTGTTGCCATACTTTGTCAAGAGAATTCTTTTGTTTAGCCGTGAAATCGCTCACTATAAAATGTGACATTTTGTGAGATATCTTGAGTGTTGTTGGAAAAGTATGCATACTTGTAAAGTTTTCACCGAAACGAAAACATTTGCTGGAAAACATTATTGAGGAGATCGAGATAGAACAAGGCTTTGAACTTTTCAAAAAGCTGAAAAGTTTTCCCCAACAATACTCGGACAGAATGTATTAAGAAAGTCATCAATAATTATAAAACTCTCTTGCAAGTTCGGGACGAATGTATGAAAGAATAACTTGAGCATGATCAAAAGGAAAAGCAAGAATCTTAGATTGCAAGAGTCAGATGGAATTTTTTTAATTCTTTTTTGGCATCAATTTCTCTTATGAGCTTTACGCCATGACCGTTAACTAGTCCAATTCCTTTCAATTGACAAAGGTGTTGCCCACCAATGGAGGAAAATCTGCAGGTTTAATAATTGATAAAGTAAAAAGTATGACGAAACCCTTTTTTTTTTGCGGTGTTTAAGAAAGCAGCAAATTCAATTAATTAATTAAGAAATCTTTTTTTCTAAGGAAACGAAAAACTATGCCATATTTGAATATGTCATTGACTACGAAGAACAAACAAGCAAAGCCCAGAAAGAGGCAATTATTATTTAATCTAATAAATTTTGAAACTATTGACACAATTATTAATGCAATAGAAGATGAATTCAAACAATAAGCATTCAAGAGGTTTATAAACGTTGAAGAACTGTTTTTGAAAGCCATTAATAAGAAGGATTTATGAAGGAGCTTAAGGTTTTAAAATCTGATTTACATGGAGATGTCAACTGAAACCAAAAAGAAAGTGAGCTTTATCTCAAACCGAATATTTTTAAAAATTCTATGTTAATTGATGTTCGAGACATATTCGGAGTAATTAAGGCACTTTTAAAATATTATAGCGTCTGTATAATATTTTGTTGACTACGACATATTTTCGTTAAATGGTCTGGTCTGTGAATTATAAATAGACAAAAATATTAAAATGATAAATTTTGCGGTAGCATAAAATATATTTGCTAGTAGCGAAAAAACTCAGACCGAAGATTCTTTAAAAAAAAAAAAAAATCTTTAAATCACAATCTCTCGTTCAAATTTGAATAAGATTTTAAATTAATACGTTTTTTAGGTGAAATGAACATTATAGTTTAACAAAATGATCTGTTTGGATCGTCAATTGGCAATTTTCCATAATTATAAGCTCTTTCCCAGTGGGAAAAAAGACGTCGAAAAGACGTCTTTAAAATTCTTATTTACGATGTCTTTAAGACGTCTTTTTTTAATCAATTATGCATCTATGTATATATATATATATATATATATATATATATATATATATATATAGACATTTTTTTTCGACATCGAAAAGACGTCTTTTTTTTATCTTAATCTTGTCGTGAAAAGATTTTAAAAAATGCGTCTTTAAGACGCCTTTTTTTAGCCGAATCATTGAAAAGGTGTCTTTTTTATCTTTATCTAGACATGAAAAGACATAAAAAACGCGTCTTTAAGACGTCTTTGTTTATCAATTATGTACTTCTAAAAAAGTGTTTTTTGCTCGGGGTCGGAACGACTTTTTTGTCATACTGATTAGTATACTATAGTATCCTATACGCTATAGTATTCCTACTTTTCATATATGAAAAGCTGTTTTTATTAAATGAAAATGATAATAACTCTTCATACAAAGTATGACAAAAAGCTCTTTCCGATGCCGAGAAAAAAACTTCTTTTAGATGTCAATATAAAAGAGGATGGATTTTCTACATCTTTTATATGTTTAAACATAGGAGAAAAATTTATAAATAAAACAACAGAATATTTTTTCATCTTTCTCTTTCTTTTCTGTTTCTTGAGCGAGCTCTGTTTCTTGGAGTTGTTGAATAAAATTAACTATATCACGTAATCGAAATATCATATCACGAAATCCTTTTATACGAGCTGGTTACAACTTCTAGCTGGTTACGACATCTAAAAATCGAGAGAACATAAAAAAAAGTCTATTGATTGATTATAATACAAAAAAGCAAATGAAACTTGATTAGCAAAGTGGAACACATTAGACTTACCGACTATTCATTCAAAAAAGGCTGATCCTTTTAACCGCCTCATGTTTTCAACGCGGTCCTTTCTTTTTGAACCAACTAGGCTGGATTGGGACAGGAGTCAAACGGTAAACAGTCTAAAAATAAATAAAAATGAGTGTGCTAAAGAAATTTACGACCATCAAAATGACTGTGCAACGATGTATTTTATTATGTAGTACTTAAATCAAGCTAAATATTTGCACCTCTCAGATTAGCTATGAAAGCCAAGTTATTGAAAACAGATATTGATATTTTTCTGTCTTCTATGACATGACTTTTTAATTGAATTTCGCTGAAATTAAGTGTTATAGACTCATTACAATTTTAAAATCCGTTATTGACTAAAGACGATCAAAACAAAAGGATAATTCAGCTAATACACCTTGAAAGTTGTTATTCATTTAAACTGGATAAAAGTATTAATCAAAGCTCTATTTTAGCCTGAAACATAATGATGCTTTACCGAACAACATAAAATCATAAAAACTGGCGATATCATATATATACTATATATATACATATATATTATGTACATTTTACATAAAATATTACTTTATTATATAAATTATAAAATAAACCCGCTCACCGAAAATACGATCTCTTTTTTGAAGACGTCTTTTCCACGTCTTTATTTCAGCTGATTATAAAAAGACATAACAAGTCATAAAAGAGAGGTCTTTTATTTGTCTAAAGATATCTTTTTTCTCACTGGGTTCTTGGTCGGAATTCTAGTATTTTTTGTGAAAATTGATCAAAATATTGTGTCTTGACAACTATATATAGTTAATATACGTCAGAACCGATTAGAACTAGGATCAAAATTAAGGAACTTTTTCAAGAGATTTTAACTAAATTCATGGTAATGTCGATGAGCGGATTTGATCTAAATCTCCAAAATAGTGTTCTTTAGATTTAGATGAAAATTGTATAAAAAAACAAGTTTCTTTAAATATTATAAAAACCTTAAGCAAAAAAGTTATAACATTTTATAATTTAAATAATTGAATATTGTCTTTTATTGATTTGTTTTTTATTTTTTAACTCAATCCCAGTGGGCACAGACGTAAAAAAGACGTCTTTTAAACGTCTTATAAACGTTTTAGACGTTTTTTGAACGTTTTTTGAACGTTTTGGACGTCTTTTGAACGTTAAAAAGACGTCTTTTTTAGGTCCGGTGCCCACTGGGAAATCACCTACAAGGCAACGGTCAATGTAAAAGAATGAATAGAACAATACTTAAAGGTGTTAGACTAGCACTGAAAACATTGAGTCTGGTAAAAGATAGATGGGAGGTAGCATTACAAATGGCTCTCCCAGTGGGAAAAAAGATCTTCAGACGAATAAAAGACGTCTTTTTAATGACTTACTATGTCTTTTTATAATCAGCCTTAATAAAGACGTGGAAAACATGCCTTTTAAAAAGACGTCTTTAAAAAAGAGGTCGAAAAGTCGTCAATTGGTTGTACGTCTTTTCGACGTAGAAAAGTCTTTTAAGACGTAGAAAAGACGTCTTTTATATCAATGACCTTTAAAAAAAGAAATGAGAAAATTTTCATTTAAATGTTAAACTAAATAACACACAGTAACTTTTGTTTTTAGGGATGGGGTGGGGAAAATTCACTAACATTTCCCACTGGGAAACAACTTAAGTTGTTAATAAGCTAATTATAATTCCCTTATAATAATTATTATAAACAAATTACTATTTATATATATATATATATATATATATATATATATATATATATATATATATATATATATATATATATATATATATATATATATATATATATTATAGTATATATATAAAAATGAATGGCGTGGTGCCAGTAAGATGGTATCAATATGATCTAGTCTAATTAAGTTAGTCGCAGGTAAGTGTTTTAAAAAGTTTTACCATTTATTTTTAGACTAATTTTTTAATGTATTGTGCTTGAAGAACGTTGTTTATTACATATTAAATTAAAATATTTATTTTCAGACAAAAAATAAAACCTGAAAACAATATCTCTCAAAGTATATGTATATTACTTGTTCAAGTGCCAGTGAAACGAACGATAGAAAAAAAGAAGCATTCAGTAGGCTTGCAATTTTTTTTTTTTTATATATTTTTAAATGATCTGAATAATTTTGTCGTTTTTATTTAGTTTAATAATGAAATTGTTTATAACAAAGATTGGTTATTCAACTTTTATGTTAAATATGTTATTTCCTTGTTAACTGTTGTCTGTCATTAATAAAGCAATTATAAAAATACACATAATGACAACAGGTTTATCTTTAGAAATGTTCGCAAACTTTTAGGTTTGGATACAAAAACCAAATAAAAGTGTACCTTTCCAAAAAACTGGAAAGGTACACTTTCTTATATCTAAACATCATTGCAGCTTTCTAGTCTTCATTTTTGTTTATGTGTATTTCATCTGAGTTGCTACTGATATCGCCAGTTTTTATGATTTTATGTTGTTAAGTAAAGTATTCTTATGTTTCAGGCTAAAATAGAGCTTTGACTAATACTTTTTTCTAGTTTAAATGAATAACAACTCTCAAGATGTATTAGCTGAATTATAATCTTGTTTTGATAGTCTTTAGTCAATAACAGTATTTTAAATTGTTATGAGTCTACAACACTTGATTTCAGCGAAATTCAATTAAAAAATCATGTTATAAAAGACAGAAAAATATTAATATCTGTTTTCAATAATTGATTTTCATAGCAAATCTGAGAGATGCAAATGTTTAGCTTGATTTAAGTACTACATAATGAAATACATCGTTGTACAGTCATTTTAATGGTTGTAAATTTATTTAGCACACTCATTTTTATAAATCTTTAGACTGTTTACCGTTTAACTCCTGTCCCAATCTAACCTAGTGGGTTCAAAAAGAAGGGACCGCGCTTAAAACATGAGTAAATTAAAAGGATCAACCCTTTTTGAATTTATAGTCGGTAAGTATAATGTGCTCCACTTAGCTAATCAGGTTTCGTTTGCCTTTTTGGATTACATTTAAGCAATAGACTGTTTTTTATGTTCACTTGTTTTTTAGAAGTGGTAACCAGCTAGAAGTCGTAACCTGCTCGTATGAAAGGATTTCTCGACGTGATATAGTTAATTTTATTCAACAACGCCAAGAAATAGAGCTCGCTTAAGAAACAGAAAAGAATAAAAAAGATGAAAAAATATTCTGTTGAACAATACGATTGTCTTATTTATAAATTATTCTCCTATATTTAAACATATAAAAGATGTAGAAAATGCATCCTCTTTTATATTGACATCTAAAAGAAGTTTTTCTCTCTACATCGGAAAGAGCTTTTTGTCATACTTTGTATGAAGAGCTATTGTTATTTTCATTTCAAAAAAATAGCTTTTCATATAAGAAATGTAGGAATACTATAGTGTATAGGATACTGTAGTATACTAATAAGTATGACAAAAAAGTCGTTCCGACCCCGAGAAAAATCACCTTTTTAGATTTGCATATTCGACTTAAAAAAGGCGTCTTATAGGCGCATTTTTTATGTCTTTACCTGATAATATTAAGATAAAAAAAGACGTCATTTCGATGTCGAAAAAAGATGTCTTTTAGATTTGCATAATCGATTAAAAAAAGACGTCTTAGAGAAATCGTAAATAAGACTTTTAAAGACGTCTTTTCGACGTCTTTTTTTCTACTTGGGTGTTGCTAATGATACCGCCAGTTTTTAAAATTTTATGTCGTTAAGTAAAGCGTCATTATGTTTCAGGTTAAAATAGATCTTTGATTAATACTTTTATCCAGTTTAAATAAATGACAACTCTCAAGGTGTATTAGCTGAATTATCATCTTGTTTTGATAGTCTTTAGTCAATAACGGATATTTAAATTGTTATGAGTCTACAAAACTTAATTTCAGCGAAATTCAATTAAAAAGTCACGTCATAGAAGACAGAAAAATATTAATATCTATTTTCAATCTCTTGGCTTTCATAGCAAATTTGAGAGGTGCAAATGTTTAGCTTGATTTAAGTACTACATAATAAAATGCATTGTTGTATAGT